TATAGACTGCATATATATATAACGTTCAGAGATTGAAATGCTGTCTCCCTTCCCCCCATAAGGGGGGGAAGGGAGGGGGCATTTTTTAAAGCATTTTTCATATTCGGCCGTGTCTGTCCCGAACGTATCAGGTACCTAATACGCGCGCCCCACGATCGCCCCAAGCTCGACGAGTAATTTCACAAGATTCCATTTCGGCGCTTATTTCGCTACGGCAACCGGAACCTAATGCGGACATAGAGCTTCTAATTTACCCGGCCATAAGAACTTGGGGCGTCCGTGTGCCAGCGTCTGACAGGTCTTCGAATTTCGATAGAGTAGAGAAGCTGATTTACGTTCGGTCCGAGTCCTAGACGGTTCCTAATTCAGGGTCGCCACCAACTCAAAATTTTGATAGGCATGGGTATCTAAACATGGTATTCTACTGCCTTTTGAAATGTATAATCTAATTCAAACGAATTTCTCGTTATTCCAATGTGGTGCAATAATGAGGTAAATGCAGCATTTTTAACTGAGTTTTCTTCCTTAGCAATAAGAACACCATGGCTCGGATTGACATATATGTTATAGTAAAAAATTTTCTGTTTCTAACAAAACTGTTACAAACAAATTAGTTTAGTAGAACTTACTAAGTTTGTATTTAACCATTGTCGACAAATTGCTCCGAGTCTTCAAGTAGCAATTTTAGAGAATTACTGAAAAATCAAAGTGAATTTGATCATTTTTTAATTTACAATGTATACATCGCATCAATCATTTTTTGTGTATACAATGTTACGTATGTTAACAATAGACTGTACAGATATCATGGAGACTTATACATTTTCCTGTGATTTACAGGGCAGTGAACTTGTTAATTTTTTCAGTTATTTTGATATTCGGGCAAGTTTGACCTTATTCTACCCAAAAATATCAACAATAAACTATTGATAAATTTTTTTAGAAGCACCTTTTCAAGTCCTGCAGCCACCTCACTCGAGGCCAGCACAGACATGCCACAGCAGTGACCTGAAGTTGCAGATTTGGCGCCGTGCGATCATATCAAGTTTTTCATATTTTGAGCTGAAGTTTTTTTTTCAGAGTTGGTTTTAAACAGGATCCAACTAATGTGTAAACTTTCATCAAAATTGCGCTGATGGTCAGGTGTGACAGATTTTCAATCAAAATTGTGCACTTGACATCGAATGACCCTTTACTAATTTGATAAAAATAATAAAATATTGTGAAAAAATTTGTTAAATCAACCAGAATTGTTGAATGATTTTTATTGCTTCTGTGAATTTCACGGTTTGACAATCATTTCGCTGCCAATTGACTACACTCTTATAAATGATAATAAGCAGACACCAGCAAAAGCTGGAACTACTTAGCAAAAGCTGACAGTTCTGCACCTAATGGTCGTTCTAATTCCTATGCAGAAGACACTCACCGATGATGAGCAGTAGCAAGCAGATGATCGTCGACGGAAACATTCGGGTGGTGCTAGGGGAGTAAAACTGTAAATTAAACCTTTTATAAGTTTAAATACAAACGAAAGTCAACAAGTTCGTCAAGCCTATTAAAGGAAAAATATGTTCAGGAGAAATATCACCAAGTATGCAGTGCGTTGCTCTAATAAGTTACCTTATTTATAGCGCGAACAGCAGGCTGGTGTTTCTCACAGATTCACTGATTACACGACAAGGTCAGGTATATTCTCATAGCAACAGCTATTCTAGGCGAGTGTTGTGAACGCAACATGTGCATTGGTTCGTACGTGGACTCAAATTGTCAATATTTTCGAGAAACCTATTGATATGTCAGCTGTCCAAGAACATAAAAACATAGATAACAACCATCATCCAAAAAACATGATAATAGAGTTATCATGTTGTTAAGGGTTACGGTTCGTTAGCATTCGGTATGGCTGCAGAAATAAATTCAAGAATTCGTACTATATAATTTATTTGCAAAGAAAATAATGGAATAATCAAACAGGAATGATGATGGATCTTGGTAGTTAAGGAATCAAAAATACAATACGAGGACGAGTGAATAATGGAGGGAGTATTACATGGTGCCTCTTACAGTAATAGAGCTTACGGGAGGAAAGTTTTAGCCCAATATAGTTCCCACCTGCAAAAACGGACCCGGTAAATGATTAACAGATGAGAAAGACAGGCTAAAACTACGTATTTCACTTAGAATTACTTATTCCAAATTATAAGATGCTAGAAAAATAACATAAAAGTTCAAGTGGGTTATAAAACTCACCAGTCGAGTGTAGGAGAACGTGATCCGAGTCCAATAACGAGTCTAGTGTCGAAGTTAACATCGGAAATGAAAGAAAAAGGATATTTAAGAGAGTGGGACATACGCCCTTACACGTGTGTGAATCCGCTTATATTAGAGAACTTAGCTAGGTTCTAAACTGTACCAATCTTGAATAAATGAACTACCATCCCAAGAATTTCATCCTGCAATTGGTTTCGACTCTTGTTTAGAACTGTCACCTTCTGACGTAGTTCGTCCATCAACCCTTATATTGCTGTGGGGTCACTCCACTCCCAAGCATCAACGTTTCAATGCGGCTCATGAACGTAATTCTACCCAAAACTTTTCGTGTCTCGAGAGGAATTCAAAGTCCACATGTATTCCACATTTAATATTCCAAATTCAATCCCTCAACTTTCCTGAAAATTTAAACAGTAAAACTAATCAATGAAATGCTAAAGATAACTAGGTTGCTAAGAATGATGAAATATTTACAACAATAATCATATTAAACAGTATTCTAGTTAAATCTATTCACAATAATATATACACGATAGTCACACTTAAAATCCTTCACTAGTACTACACATGTACCTCCGTCACGTCTCCGCACCAAACAGTAACTGGCGCAGCATTCCTAGAGTGCGGACGTGATGAGCCAGGCTATCTTTATACCTTAAATTTCAAAAAATATCTCCAACTAAAACCCTAAAAATATTTCAACATCAGGATTTTAACGTTACTGTAAGGCGCAATTCATTGTTTTAGTGAACGCCTTTCTTCGACATCTTTCTGTTTTTTTATAGTATATAGCAAGCTTTGAGTTCACATCTCTTTTATACTGAAAGCGATTTACCGCAAATTTTCTTAGTCTTGTCTAACAAACGCCATCGCATGCCACCTCTAGACGCCACCAACTCTACCACGCTCCTCACAGTAACTTGGATAAGGAGGGAGACCGAATAATAAATAAAAAAATTTATTTATGGACGGATCACTTTGAAACTTGATACACATATGTAAAACAAAAATTTGAGACTTTTTTGCTCGTGTAAATTATTCGAAAAAATAAAGGAAAACGTGAAATTCAAGGAAAACTGCAAAAAAGGGGGCACTGTGAAAATTTTCTGCTCATTCAATAACCGTGCAAAACATCGAGAGACATTTCATTTGATTCGTAAATACCATTTCTTGCGATTGACCGACCCACTTCTCCCAAATTCCTATTTTAATGGGTGGGGGGATTTTCGAATTTTTTAATTTTCGCCCCCCCTCGTTTTATTCAACATATAAACCAATCAAAAACGAAATAAAAAAGTAGCGAGGTGGCCGCTATATATTTTTTTAATAACTGAATGGTTTATCTCTCAATGCTGTAGCTTTAAAATCATAGGAGATAGATTTTTCAGATGGCGTATTTTGGAAATTTTAATTGTTCAAGGGAGTCAAACAATTAAAATTTATCGAAAAAGAATAAAATGCTAAAAAATTGCTTGATACTGCAGCCCCAGTTTTCCGGTTGCCAATTACTCATATTGAGGACACCATCATGTGTCCTTAAACTTATTCTTCAGTTTAATGCGAATAATACGTCAAAAGTCTTGCATATGCATTCTTGGTATTAAATTTATTGAGCGCGTCTTGCTTGCAGCAATCAAACGAGTGCGAAGATTTTTCAATTAACGCGAATAATGATTAATAAATACAGATTTAATCAAATAAATATTTATAAACAATAGTTATAAGATATTAGCTTTATCAAAGTTTAAAACGGCCTCACGAAAGAACCATGAAAGCTCCCTTTGTTACAGCCGCTTTGTAATAATTCTCCCTACAAAATGAGAAGAAAACACAGAAAACGTAATTCCTTAGTTTTTTATCCAGACGCTCCCCTTAAAACACTGAAAGTCGCCCTCTCCTCACAAATCTACCATCACAAAAATGTTTTACAAAGTGAATTAATTTCAGTATTATTATTATTATTATCGTTTTGTCGGTTTCAAATTTTTGATAGAATGGAATTAAAAAAAATACTAGAAAAAGTCATGCTAAGCTCTAAGTAAACGAAGAGATTCAATAATTTATTACCACATTCGCTAGATCGAATTTAATCATGTTTAATGAACATGCAATAACTAAAGCATTCGCCTACGGAACACGCGTAAATATGAAATGAAAGTTGGTAAAGACACTCATTTGGTAATAATGAATAAATGGCAGGTAAATGACACAACACACGAGAGTGAATAAGCCTGGGCATTCACATAAGCCTGGGCATTCACATAAGCCTGGGCAATCTTAAAGAAAATTCGACCTTCGAGCATATGCATCTTATCGAAATTGACCTCAGCCTGTGAGTGACTGATATCAATTGAGATAACTTCGGTGGCTGCCCTGCGATATGCAGAGGCCACCATCAGTCCCTGATCTAATTAGTTAGCTTGAATAATTTATTTAATTGCTTGATGATGGTGCAAGGACAGGACGAAGAAGTAAATTTCTGCGGCTTGGACAAGAGAAGTGGGCAAGAGAAGTGGGCAAGAGAAGTGGACAAGAGAAGTGGACAAGAGAAGCGGACAAGAGAAGTGGACAAGAGAAGTGGACAAGTGAAGTGGTCATGTCGCGCTCGAGTTCGTTTCCGTCGCCAAAAAGACTTCAACACATGTCAGCTATGCCTTCCGAAGTTGCTTTGGAGTCCACCCCTTCTGTTAACGCCAATATGAATACCGTAGATCAGAATACCATTATAAAATCATCAGTAGTTGGAAAACATCGTTGAAGATCATCACATGCCTATTGAGGATTTCAAGAAGATAATTTCATCAACAAATAATCCATTAGATCCAAACTTCAATAAATATTTAAGTCATTTAAGGTAGCGTAAACTCAGAAATATTAATAGGTCGTACTGTCCAAATAATGACTCATTTTCTTACCCACGGTACGAGCATCGGACGACACTGTTACTCCATTCTGTGAGGCCAAAATTTTACCTGTCACTCTATCTTATCTTGTGTGTGTCTAGATGACCCACAAAGGTGCAAAAAATTAGATCAGTACTCACTGCAGTGAGTGACTGAGAGCGCATTTTCTCACGTCCGTATGTCCGTCCGCGAAGTCATGGATGGATGGACGGACATGACGAGCACAATAGCGCCATTTTTTCCATAAATGATAAAATGCGCTAAATAGCGCATCGCTATTTGGACAAACACTCACTAATTTCTTAAACTGTAACATCCACAGAGAGACTTTGCGTCATTGCAGCGCAGTGGTAGATGCACCGAAATGAGAGGAGCTAGTCGTGGGTTCGAGCCTCGAAAAGCTCAGCAGTGCATTTCTCGATGTCGCTATTGGGCGGTACTTAGTAGCCGTCAATGAGTGGTGCATCAGCATGGTTTTGGGTTTGTACTCGTTAGGTACTTGTTACCTGGGGATGTTGTAGGGTAGAATTAAATATTTCTGTGTTGCGTAGTAACCTGTCTCACGCTAGCCGTACTTCAAATACTGATTTTTTTATATATATCTTTAGTTTTAAATATCTGTTACACGCGGGCGGAGCTCTGAAGCTTGTTACGCTGCTCTGGCCACGAGATGGTTTGGTGTGTAACGTGTAACTGCCTAACTCTAATAAACTCTTTTGAACTGTGATCTATGCCACGTTTACCCTGAACAACCGGAACGAACGACCCGACAACAGGGAGATATTACAGTCTTGAAATCCATTCCAGTTTAATAGTAAAACTTGTTTATATCACTTTCTACCGTTTTTATTCCGCGCAACTAGTTGAAAATGGCGGAAACGTTTTAAATAACTTCTTTATGTTGGAACTTGAATGACCAATTGAAAAAAGTATTGTAGTTTACTTGATTATTGGAGGCCGCTTCGTTTGATTTATTTCCCGATACACTATGAAATAAATTGAAATTCTTCACGGTGATATAAACGAGGTTTAGAGGCTCTACGAAAATACTAATATACGAATATAATAATAAGACAGTATTCTTACTAGTATATAATAGATATAAATTTTGTAGTACGACCAATTTTGATGAATTACAATATAACGTTGTCAGAATTTGGTGTCCTGAAAAGTCCTGTAGGAATTTAGTGTCTTGAAAGTCCTGTAGGAATTTGGTGTCCTGAAAGTCCTGCAGGAATTTGGTGTCTGAAAGTCCTGTAGGAATTTGGTGTCCTGAAAGTCCTGTAGGAATTTGATGTCCTGAAAGTCTTGTAATAATTTGATGTCCTGAAAGTCCTGTAGGAATTTTGTGTCCTGAAAGTAATGTAATAATTTGATGTCCTGGAAGTCCTGTAGGAATTTTGTGTCCTGAAAGTCCTATTTCAATTTTATAGCACGGCCAGTTTAACTCTCTTAACCTGAAGATATAACCTGAAACTAACCACCCGCAACCCTCACGGCAACGTCGAGCTAACCTTGCAGGTTATTATTTAGACTTCAAGTTAACAAAAAATAATAAATATAGGGCATTCTTCAATACTAATTACTAAGATTTGCTAGTAGTAATTGTGAGGATAATGAAAAGTAATACTATTAAATATAATTATTAATGTGCTGAATGTTGAATGCGATGTACTGTGTATTAACGTGTCTTAATGGTGTAACTGTGCGGGTAACAACAAACATGTACACTCATAAAATCATAAATTTTGATGAAATTTTGCTCACAATTTGGATCCTTTTTCAAACCAACTCTGAAAGAAATTTCACCTCCAAATATGAAAAACTTGACATGTTCGCACGGCGCCAAATCTGCAACTTCAGGTCACTGCTGTGGCATGTCTGTGCTGGCCTCGAGTGAGGTGGCCGCAGGACTTGAAGAGGTGCTTCTAAAAAAATATTATCAAGAGTTTATTGTTGATATTTTTGGGTAGAATAAGGTCAAACTTGCCCGAAAATCAAAAGTGCGGAAAAAATTAACAAGTTCAGTGCCATGTAAATCCCAGGAAAATGTATAAATCTCCAAGATACAAGTACATGACACATGTACAGTCTATTACCAGCATTCGTAACATTGTATAAAAAAAATTATTGATGCAATGTATACATTGTAAATGAAAAAATGATCATATTCACTTTGATTTTTCAGTAATCCTCTAAAATTACTAATTGAAGCCTCGGAGCATTTTATCGACAATGGTTGAATACAAACTTAGTAAGTTCTACTAAACTAATTTGTTTGAAATAGTATTATTAGAAACAGAAAATTTTGTAATTTTTACTATAACATATATGTCAATCCTAGCCATGGTGTTCTTATTGCTAAGGAAGAAAACTTAGTTAAAAATGCTGCATTTGCCTCTGTAAGGGAAATTCACCCTTTATGATTTCAGTTACTTAAATTTATTTTTGTGTCGTAAGTTTTACGGCTGCTTATAGGGTTGGCAACCGTGCTATTTGATGACGTGGCGTTACCGGCCTGAAGCCCGTGTTAGTCTTATTCGATTGCTGTAACTTGGTCGGAGCGTACCTACTGTCACTATTTTCGAGTGCACCTGTAGCGTCCCTATTAGGTGGGTGTTAGTGCATTTGCCCTCTACTTTAATGTTCGAGTTTTGAATATAGTGTTTGAATTCTTTGAATGTATTTATGTGTTGTGTTGAATGAAATTGTTCCATAGTACAGTATTGTTAGTTATAGTCTTGCTGACCATCATTGTTCGGCAGGACTGACTCTTTGCCCGGCCAGCAAATGCGGCTCCTAGTTAGGCCGACTCGATGGTACTTCTCAACTCCAGTACCTGCACCAGTCCAGTCTCAACCCAAGTTCACTAGCCCTTGCTGTGTACTATAAGCCCAGTGTTCTTCAGACTGTGCACCATCAGTTCAGTGCCCCGTTGCGCAAGGGTAGTATCAGTCCAGTGCACTACCACCGCTGTGTATTACCATTGCTGTGTATTACCATTGCTGTGCCTTACCATTGCCGTGTATTACCTCTGCTGTGAACTACCTTTGCTGTGAACTACTTTTATTGTGAACTACCTTTGCTATGAACTAGCTACCTTTGCTGTTCACTACTTCTGCTGTGCACTATCTTTGCTGCGAACTATCTTTGCTGTGTAATATTTTTGCCGTGTAATATTTTTACTGTGTAATATTTTTGCTGTGTAATATTTTTGCTGAGTACTATCTTTGCTGTATACTATCTTTGCTGTATACTATCGTTGTTGTGTAATATCATTGTTGTGCGTTAGTCACTAGGATCCTTTCAACCTTTCATTTATTAGTGTTCAATTATCTGTTTTGTTCAATAAATATTTGTTTACTATGCTTTCATTCCTCCCTTGTTAAGATCGGTGGCAGTTTAGGGTTAATTGTCGAATCAATTTGGAGTCGTCCTTTACTTGAACTTTACAGCCTCATTATTGCACCACATTGGAATAACGAGAAATTCGTTTGAATTAGGTTCTACATTTCAAAAGGCAGTAGAATACTATGTTTAGATACCCATGCATGTGACAGAACACCAGGGCATACTTTTGTCAAGAGGCTTCCTCCAATTTTTTGAAAGTCGACTCATTTATTTTCATGCCTCATTATTTGTTATTAATTTTCAAGTTTATTAATGCTTATTCTCGTTTTATATAATCCAGAGTCGAGTTGTTTATTTCATCCAGGTGGATAAACACGTGTCAAAAGTGAAAACCTGCCACAGGCAGCAACACAGTCTACTCGAACAAATAGGAATGAATTTTAATATAGTCATTACATATAGCTAGAATTACTTATTATTATTTATTATTACCCATAACTAGTATTATCGTATGCTATAGTACAGAATTTTCTCTTGAAATCAATGGTGTGTCAACAAAATTGGTATACTGCAACTATTCAAACATTGTCGAAAAATGGCTCTGAGGCTTTTATTAGCAAGTTAGGATGAAATTCACTGAAAAATCAGAGTGAATTATTAGTTAATATTAATTAATATTAATATTAATTATTAGTTAATTATTAGTTAATAGGTCAGCTGTGTGACACAATACTCTGAAGCCTTTAACTTTACCAGGCCATATGGGCCTATTGCTTCAGCGCCATCACATATATTTTATTTTATTCTAACTGCCCGTTTATGAATGAGACATAATTATTAATGCATTGGCCAGCCGTTGCTAAATATTTCAGAGAATGCTTGCCTTGCGCAACTATTGAGCAAATCAGTGAATAACTATTTTATTTCTAACCTGATGAGGTCAACTTTATTGCACTTTATTTCGTAAGCATTAAATTAGTCATTTAAATGGTGATACAAGCTATGAATTTTCTTCGAGTTCTTGATGGTTCATTTTCTCTGAGGATTTTTTTTGGTAACGAACAGTTTATTTATGGCATGATAACTTCGTACCTGAAACAAAATAAAGGAATTTTGCTTCTAATTTCGTTCTGGAATAAAATGCGTCATAGAGCGTAATATCTTAATAAGATCGCAGAATAGCTTATATAGCAATCATGTGAACACCAAAATTGAAAATAAACTCACGGTCGTATTAAAGAAACGAATCATTGCGTTATGTATTTACGCAATTTTCTTTCATATATCCACAGTTTTTTCACGATTTATAAAGATGTTAAAATATTTAATAATTCAAACTTCGAACGCTATTTCATTGGTGGCTATTGATCAATTATTAAGGGATGGCCACGCGTGGTGAAACTGCACTAAGCCATCGATGAATAGCATCCTATAAATCATCGATGATTCATCGATGAGTGCCACCTATGCTCGCGCATCCTCTCGATTTATCAGCGTTTCAATGGTGATTTTTTACTGGCTTGGCCACCCACCGTTACGCCACCTATAATCTACCATCGCCACCTATAATCATCGATGCGCCACCTTTAATTTTTATTTGGGACGGCGCCAAATCTCCGACTTCAGGTCACTGCTGTGGCATGTCTGCTGGCCTCGAGTGAGGTGGCTGCAGGACTTGAAGAGGTGCTTCTAAAAAAATTTATCAATAGTTTTTTGTTGATATTTTTGGGTAGAATGAGGTCAAACTTGCCCGAATATCAAAATAACTGAAAAAATTAACAAGTTCACTGCCCTGTAAATCACAGGAAAATGTATAAGGCTCCATGATATCTGTACAGTCTATTGTTAACATACGTAACATTGTATACACAAAAAATTATTGATGCGATGTATACATTGTAAATGAAGAAATGATCAAATTCACTTTGATTTTTCAGTAATCCTCTAAAATTGCTAATTGAAGACTCGGAGCAATTTGTCGACAATGGTTAAATACAAACTTAGTAAGTTCTACTAAACTAATTTGTTTGTAACAGTTTTGTTAGAAACAGAAAATTTTTTACTATAACATATACTGTATGTCAATCCAAGCCATGGTGTTCTTATTGCTAAAGAAGAAAACTTAGTTAAAAATGCTGCATTTGCCTCATTATTGCACCACATTGGAATAACGAGAAATTCGTTTGAATTAGATTATACATTTCAAAAGTCAGTAGAATACCATGTTTAGATACCCATGCCTATCAAAATTTTGAGTTGGTGGCGACCCTGAATTAGGAACCGTCTAGGACTCGGACCGAACGTAAATCAGCTTCTCATATATGTCCGCTTTTGGTCTACATTCCGGTCCCCGAATCAGACAGCTACAAGCGCCTGGTACTTATTCTGCCAACTCTTGCCCTACTCTCTGGAGACTATAAAGTCGGCAAGGAGGTTCTGACAAGACGCTGATTGCGATCAGTTGGCCAACTGACCCAGAATAACTCTAACGCGAAAATAGCAACTCTGGGGCGGAGGCTGAACATACCCCGAATTTTGTTAGGGATGCATGTGGCAGAACACCAGGGCATACTTTTTTCAAGAGGCATCCTCTAAGTTTTTGAAAGTCGACTCATTTGTTTTCACACCTCATTATTTATTGTTAATTTCCAAGTTTATTAATGCTTATTCTCGTTTTATATAATCCAGAGTAGAGTTGTTTATTTCATACAGGTGAATAAACACGTGTCAAAAGTGAAAAGCTGCCACAGGCAGCAACACAGTCTACTCGAACAAATAGGAATGAATTTTAATATAGTTATTACCCATAGCTAGAATTACTTATAATTATTATTATTTATTATTACCCATAACTAGTATTAACGTATGCTATAGTACAGAATTTTCTCTTTGAAATCAATGGTGTGTCAACAAAATTGGTATACTGCAACTATTCAAACATTGTCGAAAAATGGCTCTGAGGCTTTTATTAGCAAATTAGGATGAGATTCACTGAAAAATCAGATTGAATTATTAGTCAATATTTTATGTATACAATGTTACGTATGTTGGCAATAGACTGTACAGCTATCATGGAGATTTATTCATTTTCCAATGATATAAAGGGCACTGAACTTGTGAATTATTTCTGCTCTTTTGATTTCCGAGCAAGCTTGACCTTATTATGCATGAAAATATTAGCCATAAACTATTGAAACAATTTTTTTATAAGCACCTTCTTGAGCACTACAGACACCTTAATTTCCAAATCAGTAGCAAGCACAGCAGTGACCTGAAGTTGGAGATTTTGAACCGCGCGACCGGGGAGATTTTCTCCACCCCTCTTTGAGGGCACATAATTTAAAAAGTTTTTCTATTTTCAGCTGAAATTTTACCTTATTCGGGTTGATATATGAGCTAAAGGAATATGTGTGTTCCTTTATCAAAATGGTCAGGTGGGTACTCTTGGATCATCTGACATAGAATGACCCTAAAGCAGTGGTTCCCAAACTTTTTCAGGCTGGCGCCCCCTTTGGCTTCCTAGTGAATTTCTAGCGCCCCCCACAGACAAATATAAAAATATACGCCTCTTTCTTGAAATTTAGTACGTTGCAACTTTAAAAAATAAAGGTTAAACACAAATATGTATTCTACAAATAGAACCCCAATTAGTGAACCAATAAATTTTTCAGCCGTTTTAACTGTTTCAGCACTAGAAACCTAGGACGTCTCGGGCAAATTTACGGCCGGACTCGTGGCCAGTCTCATGACCAATCTACAAATTCAACTATCAAGTAATATCTCTCAAACAATGAACGCAGCTCAATGAAACTTGGAACACGTATTCATTAGGTCCTAACGGTGGTGTTTAGCTCGTGAAAATTTTTTCAATTTCACCTTCATTCATGACTTATATTGCGATACAGGCCCAAATTCGCTGTGATCGAAGAATTTCTTCCAAATTACTGAACAAATTTAAACGGAATTTCGAATATACATTCGTAACTACCAAACGTTGATTTTTAAGCTTATGAAATTTTTCGATTTTACCTTCGTTTCTGAGTTTTTTTTCATTTCACCGTCATTCTTGATTTCGCACTTACATATATTCGGCCCGTATCGCCGAGTAAGTTGTCGCTTAAATTCGCGGCGATCAAGAAATTTCTTCCAAACTACTGAACGGATTTCAACGAAACTTTTTATAAAAATGCCTAACCTTCCAACGATGATGTTTCGATCGTGACAATTTTTTCTATTTTGCTTGCGTTCGCGAGTTATACAGATATTGGAGGAACGACCGGCGTTTTTACCGGCCGGTTTAACCAAACGCCCTTTACGTATAGCCGTATACGGATAGCCATATAACTCGCAAACGAAGGCAAAACGAAAAAAATGTAACGAGTCAAACATCACCGTTGCTGAGGTTAGGTATTTAAATACTTAGATTCGTTCAAATCTGTTCATTAGTTTGGAAGACATTTCTTGATTACTGCGAATTTCAGCACTTACTGGTTTTTAAATCGCAAATGAAGGTGAAATGAAAAAAAATCGAGAAGGCACAATCGAAAATTTTTTCACTTGCTAAACATTACAATTCAGTAGTTAGGACTGTAAATTCAAAATTTTGTTCGAATCTGTTCAGTAATTTGGAAAAAATTCCTCGATCACTGTGAATTTCGGCTCGTATTGTCATATAAGTATGGCAAAAACAAATGAAGGCAAAATTCAAAAAATTTTCACGAGCTAAACATTGCCGCTAGGTCGTAATGAATACGTGCACCAAGTTTCAAATTAAGTTCGTTAGTTTGAGAGATATTCCTTGATCACTGAATTTGGAAATTGGCCGTGAGACCGCCGTTAATTTGTCTGAGACGTAAACACATGAGAGGTTAAAAAAAACAGATCTGGGTGACAAAACCATCGCTGGGAGTCATGTGCTGCACGTGTTGTGTACAAATCGTCAAACAAACGTTCGAACTTCTGACTTCGACTTCGGTCTGCCGCCCCCCTACCGCCCTCTTCTTCCTAACCGCCCCCCAAAATATTTCCACCGCCCCTAGGGGGGCGATATCGCCCACTTTGGGAACCACTGCCCTAAAGCCATCATAGGTTGTCATTTGCTCATATTGTTAAAGTTTTCGTATAATTTACGCATGACAAATTGATTGTATTATCAAATTCGAATACTCATATGGCAGGCGCTGTCGCAGCCGACTGTCCTAAAGGCTATGAGGCCGTCGGGTCCAAGTGCATCCACCGTTACACGGGTGGATATCTGACGTACGACGAAGCGGCCACTAACTGCACCCAGCACTCCGGCAGGCTGCCTGTGCTTAAAGACTGCGCTTCCTTCACTGATGTCGCCACCTATGTCAACGATGGATGTAAGGTTATAACAGAAAAACGTGATAAAGTCAATAAACTTGCAGAATTGACAAATTTTGATTTCAAAATGTTTGTCATCGTAGAAACATTGTCAGTCGACCCTCATAAGTTAGAAGTGAATTTTAGCAATAAAGTCTCTCTCTATGCATCAACTTGATGTTTCGTGGGACAGGAATTTCAGCGAACATAATTGACCTGTAATATGACATCTGATTAATTTTATTGCAATATCATAATGCCTCTATTATCATTAGACAAACGCTTATCATGCCTCTTCGCTGATTTGTGAAAACATTGGTAAATTGGCATGCTCTGTTAGCCGCGGGTGGCAGAATTAGATTCTACACTAATGTTCGACTGCAGTAATTATTCATTCACTCACAATTGGCCCTGTGTACAACACTCAGCTTCTGTGTGATAATCGTAAATGTCAGGCGTCCGTACCACTCGGCTTGAAGTGACCGAGCAGCTGCTACCCTAACCAAATTCAGAGGCGCGGTAGATTCTGATTCGAGGAATCAGAAGCTGAGCCGGATCTAAATTTTAACTGGGTAGGGGTGCAACAGCTGCGCAACTCGAGAAGGTGGCCAGGTAGTTAAGAGTCGGCGACAGGCCAACAGGGTCTAATCAACGCTAAAAGCTCTATATTAATTAATATTATTACATAATAATATTTCTATTACTAGTAACGTTGCACTCCATCAGACTTAACTGATTTCAACAACGGCTACTGGTTAGGCGCGACCAATGCAACGCTCACCAATGTTTGGCAGTGGAGTGACGGAGAGGCCGTGCAAATGGGCGCTCCGTACTGGGCCACCGTGAGTATATCCATTTTTTTCTGTGCATGATACAACATATTTGCTATAAGGAAGTATATTAATATGAAATTGTAAATGGATGAAGCTCAACTAAGTCACGTCAAGCTGCAACAGGATTGAACAATATAATGTGACAAACAGTATTATAATGTTGAGGTGAACTTACTTAGAATTAACAGAAAACAGAAGGTGAAGTTCTAAGTGTCTCTTACAAAAAGTCACTCATGATTCTCCTGTTTGAAATGACAGTGATTTGCAGTCATAATTCTATGAAGATTTAGTAGACAAGTCGTTATTCTAACTTATGTTTCTGCTTGATTCGACCTATTCACATAAAAATTATTGGTGAAGCATCGATGATTGTTGGTGGCTATAGATGGAAATTATAGGTGGAGAGCACCGATGGCGCATCGGTGGCGTGTCCGGCCTAGGTTCCAACTATAACTGCTGCTGGCGACCCTAACCTAAAAACCAATTTTCCACCAATATCTTACCCATATGTGCCGATGGCGAATCAATGAGCCATCAATGACCACCTCTCGAATTAGGTCGATAGAAATTTTCCGTTAGTTTTAAATCCAATACCTGTGCATTCTCACATTGTTCGACATTCCTTCCAAATACGATCAAACATTTTGAGGATTACGTATACACATCAAGCATGGCGATACACGCAACAATGTTGGAAATGTAGCAGGAACAAATAATTACAGTGCCATGTACAAAACTCATGAGAAATCGACTTGGAGAAAAGTCCCTGCCTGCTCGGATCGATCTCAAGTCTCCCGCGCGCAAAACCAAGCCTCTACTGCTGAGACATCAGAGATTCGGAGATTACTTACCAAACGAGTCATTTTGAGAGATTTAACTGAAGTATTGCAATTTTTAATTTCATCAGTTATTATTAATAAATTCCATGCATTACTGTGCTGATTAGATGGTTCCATTAACCACGGTTTACTCGAACACGTTATTATGTTCCAGAAATGGGAGCTGAAAAAATTCCGTTTATTATATCTGTTGAAGTTTATTTATTTGATAATTATATAATTTTTCAAAAAAAGGGAAGTTTAGAAAGATTTTCGACGGAAATATTTTTGTGGAAAATAAAGATTGTTTAGATGATGGAATTGACATCACTCGACTTTGAAATGTCAGGGGTGAAACTCTTTCAACAATCCACGCCCATGTTTTTTCTTTACCCTAGTATATGGATAATCTGTCACGTAGGAATGATGCTGACTCCACATTATTATATATGTAAACTTGAAATCAAAATAATTATGTGACGAGATAAGCAAATTTATCATAAGTAGATAAATTACAATATCAATGTCAGTCCATAGAGAACTGCTTTGCATCTTTCAGCGTAAGGAGGATTTTTTTTTCGAAAATAAGAGTTTTTAACTAGCAATCTAACCGGAACACATTTTACAAGCAAGGCGTAGCAAGGATCGTTTCGCCACATATAATGTAGCATGCCTACCTATAACCATATAGTGCACCACCCTTGATTATTATTTGGGTAGTTGGGAATCTTTATTGAGTGATGACATTCAGTAGTTGGCGCAAGAAATATTACAGCTGACTGACTTATTGCATTGAGTGCTTCATGTGATTACAATTGATCGAAAAACTTTCAACAGCTCCCTCTAATTAGATTTATCTCTCAGAACACTGGAGAGAATTTGGCAACGGAACCTTCGGGTGGAACGGTACAGAACTGTGCTTTTATAGAAAGGTCCGCCGTTTCTTCAGAAGCTGACACGAGCTTGTTATTCCGAGACTTTGGATGTGCAGCCCTTTTCTATCCAATGTGCTCAAGACCTTTAGTAGATGGTGAGTTACTCTTCCGTTTTGAAGCCTTGGAAGGTAACCTGAACAGAGAAGTGGAGAGAGTAAACACTTTGTGTATAGGAATTCTTTCTAAGATTTTGATTATTTTAGGCAGTCAACTGCCAAATTAATCCCTTCGATAGAATTTTACGATCAATCTGCAGAATTACGTACAAAAGTGTTATGAGTTCGTACGTAACTTTGACGTGCCTGTTTACTTTTCAGGAGTTAGCTCTCAATACTAGGTTGATATTTTAGAAAATATACAGCAAAAGAGAAACAATTTAATAGATAATTCAAGATTATAAAAAAATTAGAAGTGAAAATAACCATAATAAAGGAGAGCTAAAAAACTTACAGCTATCCAGTTCAATAAAAAGTATTAGGTGAGGGGCATCATGTAATATGCATGATGGAATCTCTGTGCAGTCTTAGCCAGTCTACGTGTTTACTTCTGAATTTTTATCGTTTTATCTTGCTTGATTTCATTCTGATGTTATTGCGACATGGCACTTATTGAACTTGAGGCTTGCATCAATAAATATTTACTGACATCCGGCACACCTTGTACCCGAGGGTTCCATGAACATTGCTTGTTGTACATAAAACGCTTACGTTAATAGTTCCATGGCAATGTCTATGGTTCCGGTACTAGCGTAAACTTTGAAATGATGAATATTCCAGTTAAGAAGAATGTAGGGTCTTGAAACAAACTAAGTTAAGTTAGATTAAACGCACGAATGGCAGGACCCAAGGCAGAGCAGTGCTAATCTCTTTTTCAATGACTTCTCAAAGTTCGGCAGGTGGAACTAATATCCAGTTTCCAAGATTTAATTTAATCTAGTATCTTTCATTCATTCCAAACTTAACATCATGGATATGTTTTTTCCTGCAGATCTCTGCGTTTTAATCTAATATCTTTCATTCATTCCACATTTAACATGATGAATATGTATTCAACTGCAGGTCTCTGCGTGAATCCTTTTGTTTTGGTTGGCACTCAATTTATTTTCGTAATTGAGAGCGCAAGGACCTGGCACGCCGCTCGTATCGCGTGTGAACTGGTCGGTGGCAGGGTTGGCAATGATTAAATCAAAATGATTAAATCACTTGATTAAATCACTTGATTTTTTTATAAAAAAATCATGATTTTTTTGATTTTTTCGATTTTTTCATATATTTAAAAATATTGAGTGGCAGTCTTTAATTTATATTGAGGTATTGTTATTCATGGTTTAGTATAAATGTACTATGAATGACAAATTGGTATATAAACTTGTTGCCTTTTGTGTGTATTAGGTTCCAATAAATGGAATGTTTTTGGTACAGAGGCATCAAGAGTGCAATACATTTTACGTAGCTAGTACCTTAGCTAATTCTCATAAGGCTATAACTAGTCTAACTATTTGACTATTTGTTATATATTGATTACAATATACAAATTAAATGTGTTAGCTAGCTTATACAGGGTGGGGCAGAACTGATTGAACAGTTTTGAGGCGAAATAAAAGAGTAATGGAGGTACATAAAGAAGAAAGTTTATTTTCCTCAAGATTAGCATAACATACCATTTAAAATACTTATGTTTTGCAAAAAATATCAGGAAAATGGGGTTTGTTAGCTGCATCACACTGTTGGAGTCGTTCTCGGAAGTTTCCTACAGCACGTTCACACATATGGCGAGGTATGGCCATAACCTCTGCTGCAATAATCCGTTCTCTTAGCTGTGGTAGGGTGTGAGGGCGACTTCTGAACCCTTTTCTTTAAGATGTCCCCAAAGAAAGAAATCGCAAATGCTCAAATCAGGTGACCTCGCAGGCCACTGTAAATCACCCCTTAGAGACACCAGACCTACAGGAAACATGCGTTTCAAAACATTGAGTAACATTCGAGCTGTGTGAGCTGTAGCCCCATCCTGCTGGAACCACGTCTCTCAATGCTTCATTTTCAACAATGTTTTCAATCATGGGCTGCAAGAAATTTTGTTACATTGCAGCATAGCAATCAAAATTCACTGTTATGGTTACTCCCTCCTCTGAGAACGACTCCAACAGTGTGTTGCAGCTAAGTGAGCTAACAGCCCCCATCTTCCAGATATTGTTTTCAAAACATAAGTATTCTAAATGGTATGTTGTGCTAGCCTCTAGGAAAATAAACTTTCTCCTTTATGTACTTCCATTACTCTTTTATTTTACCTCAAAACTACTCAATCGGTTCGGCTCCACCCTGTATATTGAGAGGTTGAGATTGTATTGAACTTTTAGGCAATTAGAAAGATTTTCCACCCTAGTACGAGTATTCTAATTGAAATATTTAATTTCAATCGTTAAATATGTGAATTTAAAACTAGAAACAATTACAATTATAAGACGATATATAAAATAATTAAATGCAGTGAATGGATATAAAATATTTGAATTGTGCACATGTTTATTTCAAACAGTGTTAGCTTTTCTCATAACTATATATAAAATAATTAAATGCAGTGAATGGATATAAAATATTTGAATTGTGCACATGTTTATTTCAAACAGTGTTAGCTTTTCTCATAACTTAAGTCTTGTTTCAAGTCGTATGAGGCTTGTTTGGTTATCGTTCAGTTTATTTTTAGTATTGGTTTATTTGTCTGAATTAAATGGGAATAGTGCAGTCAGTCACTCAGTCACTACTAGTCGGATCTAGAGGAGTGCTGTTCATGCCCCATCTAGAGGAGTGCTGTTCATGCCCCATCTATAGGAGTGCTGTTCATGCCCCATCTAGAGGAGTGCTGTTCATGTCCCATCTAGAGGAGTGCTGTTCATGCCCCATCTAAAGGAGTGCTGTTGATGCCTCATCTAGAGGAGTGCAGCGTTTGCCCCACCTTGAGGAGTGTGTTTTATGTTCTATCTAGAGGATTCTTTCAATTGTTCGATCCATATGGTCATAAATTCTGTCGTTTCCAGACCAGTGTTGTTATTGTCCTCTCTAGGAGAGTGTCATCAATGGCCCATCTGCAGGTTGCTTATATTATACCCGTCTTGTCCATCATAGGTTAGGAGGTCTAGGGATAGATAATCTTCAAGATTTGTGAATAATTTTCCTCATTGGTTTTGTGACCACCTGATGGATTTGTAACTGAGAGTCAGGGTACTTTATTGTTCCAAGTAGGACTAAGGCAGGACAAGTGAAACTCTCGGTAACACTAGTTCTATTATAATAATAAACTGGCTCGGCGAGTACAGAGGGAAGGGAGATGACAGGTACAGCACAAGTATGTGCCGGAGGAGCGGACTAGTAAGATGACGGCTAGGCAGTGCCGCTACAACTGACGAGCGGTGCACTGATCGGGCTATATATAGTCATTAACAGGGATGACGTCACTGAGCGTGACTGCCATGTGGGTACAGAACAAGCTAAGCTGGTGACGTATGATAACCTAAATGGTGATAGTAGATCACCGGAAAGATGGTGATAGAAGATTACCGGACATAAACGTTACGGAAAACTCCTTCCATTTTTCATTTCCTATTTAGAGAGTGACATGAGCCTTTGTCCGATTTGACTCTCCTTGGAGGAAGTATTTCGACATTCTTTAAATAAAATGTTTTGGAATCCAGCACCATCGTCAATTGGACATTTCTAGAAAAAATAACAGTTGTCAGTACAATTGAAATAAAAAACAACGAGCTAAAAATTAAATATACAGATAAATGGCAATGAAAACAACATGAAAAACCTGTCCATACTGAATTTCAAGTGGACATAAGCTAAAGGCTGTATTCAAACTATACCTCTTTTTGAATATATACAAGGATTCTAAAAAACGTATTCGAAATCATCAGAGGTGGAAACTAAAATCTTAGTCGCTATAGAATATTGGCACGTCACACGTACGATGGGCGTGACTGCCGCGTGAGTGCGCACTGCGCACCGCTGAATGAAGGGGACGCGCTGTTAAATGACCAGTTCTACAACTACTCCCTTAGTTCTCCGCTTTCCTGGATTAAAGACTGCGTGCTACCTACACGTTAAAACAAAGGCAAGCATATTTATTGTCCAATGAAGTATTTCGATGATTATTTGTTCAAAGTGGTACATAGCTGAAGTAATTAATTCAGATAAGATTAATGAGTTCTAAACCCTAATTATATCAATTTTGTTTCACTGGTGCAGACTTGCATACAATCCAGTAATGTTTTTGTAATCTGACTGTATTACAAAGACTGACGTTTGAGTCGGGAATGATAATTATTCAGAAGTTTAGTAACATGGATACTGTGGCTTGGCTCTAAACAGTGTTGAGAGAGAGTTCTCTAGTTCGTCAGAACTTGCAAGTTTCATCGTCAAATAAAAATTTCAAATTGTTTTAACAATAAATTAATTGTGGAAAAAGCAATAAATCGGATTTTAAAATGTGTAGCTCAGACATTTAATACTCGTACAGCCTAAAACTTGTTAACTTAATAACTGTAAACTCCTATGAACCACGTAACGTATATGTCCATAGTTTGCATTGTGTTTGAAGAACGTGAAGCGGTTGACGGATGCTGTTTGACATGTTAATGTCAACACTGTGTTTGTGAAGCAGCTGGTACTCTTCCCTGTCATTGAGAATTTTGCTGGAAAATTTTGATTGCGGATGCGACATCCACCGTGGCACTGGCCCGCATGGATGCCGCCTCGGTGACTGATGAAACTGAAGCTTTTATTGCTCGCGAATAAACCTCAGAGTTAAAATTTAATTTTTCAATCAGCTGCATACACGACAATCGTAAGAGAACTTAGCATCAGTATCTTACAGGACACACCATGCATACACTAAGCCAATTAACTAAAGCACAGTAATAGTTACAGGCGTCATGCTGAGTATATCAATTTTGCTAGAGTAATTAGAAATAAATTCACTGTAAAAAATAGCTATTATAGCAACAACATAAAAACCTGCGAAATCTTGTATCACAATTGATTTTCACCCGAAATATTTTGCTTTTCCACCATGCCGATTTAGTTTTTATCACCACAACGGAGGGCGCGGTCGATGCATATTACAGTCAAAAATTCTCTCTCATTGTAAGGTGAAATCAAAATAAACTATACAGCTTTTTCCCACTGCGACGATGAAGAGTAATGCGAATTTATTATGAGTTATATCAATGTTTATTTAAATAAAATTTTACACAAAAACATTTTTTTGTGGTGGCAGACTGCGGTGTATTAAACCTGAAGTAGGTTTCACAGAAACCGTGACGTTGCTTGCATGACAATGTCAGCAGCAAATTGCAAGGCAATTGGCTTTGATTTTGAATTTGTCAATAACATCAGAAATCTATCAGGTATCTGCAAGTACCTATATTACACTTCCAAGTCTCATATAAAACCTAAATTTCGTAGAAAGTATTTCCATAACAATATCGATCATTCATTTAATGGACTTTGCCTGATTTTCTTAAAATTACAGCTTCATTCATTTTATGTGCAAAAATTCTGATTTCTTTTTCTTCTCTTCTGATTTCTTTTTCTTCTCTTCAAAAGTTCTGATTTTTTGTTATCTATTTCCAGGATCAGATATTTTTTAATGAAACATTTGGGTAATCAAATTTTAGGATAAATCTGACCAAGCTAAATTTCAACAAAATTTAGAAATGTTTATGGCAGATTTAATGTACTATTCATGGCCAAAATTAACAAAACAAATTAATGAACAATGCTAGTCGAATGCGTGCTAAGCACAACAGTTGTACTCTGCTGAGGAAGTCAAAAGTCGAGGTCTATAAAACATAATCTACGAAAAATGAATTAAAACAATGCTTTAGTGATTATGCCTATCAACAGCACAATGGTTAACCATATGAAGCGTAAATAAAAGCTAACATCACCGAATGAAAATCCCAAATGCAAATATCATTGAAGCATTGAAGTCGAAATTATCCCAACATTAAATAGAGAACAACTGCGCCTTTATCGAAATAGATCTGCTCTTATTATGATTGGTTGCTAATTCCTGTTCGATAAAAAGGAACTACGATATTGGGAGTAAACACAATGCTCGTTGCCAGACTACAGAGAACCTTTATTGACATGCAGCTGTAGACATCTTCTGTCACGCACTCAATCGCCGCGTCTGCTCAACTAATATACGATGTGTTCCTTTCCTCACTCTGACTTTAAAGCGCACACGCTGAAAAGAATTGAGATTTGTATCATAGTAAAACGCTGTATTTTTCCAACGTATAAATTCAGATCTCAATCATGGTATACATGATTAGTTAAATAAGCACGCAAGCGTCCATTAAGCGAGTGTCATAGGATTTTAAGCAGTAAGATGAATTAACAGACTTATGGAGAATTTTATGAACACAATTCACACAGTCTTTACAAGGAAGAATTCCGCATTGAAATCAATCCATGATCCTTTAATAATTTTTTCTTTCAAACACATTCATTCCATGCATCGTCATTGAGCTATTGTTCAGGTATTGCTAGAAATCAAATCTTTGATCGCATTCCGCCGCTAAGTTAAAAGAAAATTAACTTGATAATTTCAATTCCAAATTCAAAGGTACCTGCGCATATATAGCCAGAAAAAGATTCGTTTAAATTAACGGTAATCAGTTGACTTTCAACTTCCCTTGATGGTTGGGTAATCAACGGTAATCAACTGGCTTTCAACTTCCTTGATGATTCGAGTCTGCCTCCAGCCGGGCACTGGGCGACCATAACGAAACTTCTTCAATGCAATGAATCTTTTAGCTCTTGGCTGATTGCGGCCTCTGAAACCAAAAAATAATTCACTGTATTGAGAATAAAGGCCATGGACAATCGAACAAATATTGAATTGAAATTTTAACTTTTATTGATCTAACGACGTGGCTTAACGCACGGAATTTTAAATGTATGTAATTTTTAACAATGGTGTTAAAAATTACATACATTCCAGCTTTTTTTGGCATCTACTACTCCCGCACTCGCCCCGTGACCAGCCGCTGAATGCAGTTGGTGGCCTAAAGTCATAAAATAATGAAAATAAAACCTTCAGTTTCATCAGTCACCGAGGCGGCATCCATGCAGGCCAGCGCCACGGTGGATGTCGCATCCGCAATCGAAATTTTTTAGTAAATTTCTCAATGAAGGCAGAGTGCCAGCTGCTTTGCAAACACAGTGTTGATATTACCAGAAATAAACAGCATCTGTCAACCGCTTCACGTTCTTCAAACGCAATGCAAACTATGGACATATACGTTATATATTTCATTGGAGTTTACAGTTGTTAAGTTAACAAGACTTAGGTTACAAGAGTATTAAATATCTGAGCTACACATTTTAGAATTCGATTTATAGATTTTTCCACAATTGATTTATTGGTGAATCAACTTGAAATTTTCATTTGACAATGAAACCTGCAAGTTCTGACAAACTCGAGCGCTCTCTCAACACTGTTTAGAGCCAAGCCACAGTATCCATGTTACTAAACTTCTGATTAATTATCATTCCCGATTCAAACATCAGTCTTTGTAATACAGTCGGATTACGAAAACATTACTAGATTGTATGCAAGTCTGCACCAGTAAAACAAAAATGATATAATTAGGGTTTAGAACTCATTAATCTTATCTGAATTAATACTACAGCCATATACCATCTTTGAACAAATAATCATCCGAATCCTTAATTGGACATCAAATATTCTTGCCTTTTGTTAACGTGTAGGTAGCACGCAATCTTTATTCCAGGAAAGCTGAGCATAAAGGGAGTAGTTGTAGAACTGGCCTCTATAGCAGCGCGTCCAACCTCATTGAGCTGTGCGCAGTGCGCACTCACGCGGCAGTCACGCCCATCGTACGTGTGACTTGCCAATATTCTATAGTGACTAAGATTTTAGTTTCCACCTCTAATTCTTCCGAATACGATTTTTAGAATCCTTGTATATTTTCAAAAAGATGTCTAGTTTGAATACAGCCTTTATAGCTTTCGTCCGCTTGAAATTTATAATGGACAGATTTTTCATGTTGTTTTCATTGCCGTTTACCAGTAAATTTAATTTTTACCTTTTTTCAATCGTTCAAACAACTGATAGTACATTTATTCTAGAAATTTCTAATCGACGATGGAGCTGGACTCCAAACATTTTATTTAATGATACGGTGAATTACGGTGTAATTTTTTAACTTTCAAATGCCAAAATACTTCCTTCAAGAAGAGCCAAATTGAACAAAGGCTCATGTCACTCCTTAAATAGGAAATGAAAAATGGAATGGGTTTTCCTCAACGTCCATGGATATTGACCGTATATCATGTATTTATCGCTCCATCGTCAATTGCTTTAATTCTGTCAGGTTGGTTTCCGTAGTGTCGCGTATGTCAGTTCTCTTATGAAATAGGTTTATGGCAAAAATCTTACAAAGAGAGGGTTGCAATGAAACACTGGTACATTTCATATTAAATTGGGAAATACAAGATTACATCTTACGTTGACAAAAATCTCTAGTGCATGAAAAAGTAATCTGAACACGATCAAAATTGAGAATCTATCAGTTAACACCACTAAAATCTTCTACTTGTACCAGAAAACGTTGAACCGTAGAACGCTCCCGTAGAATGGTACGACCCCCGCAACGACCGTAACTCACGCGCGCGTTTGCAGCCGTATTTCAAGTGGCCGTACCGCAGCTGTAGCCGCGCGTCCCGGCGGTCGCTGTTCTTCATAACCGTCGTGTCTCGCTGATATATATGATGTCTCACGGTCAGTCTGGCCGTAGGTTTATTGTAACGGATCATAGCTGAAGGACCTGATGTTATTATTTATAATTTTGTGCAAGAATTTCGTAAAAAAAATTTTGTATTCAATAACATGACATATTCATGGCACATGAACAGCACTCCTCTAGATGGGGCATGAACAGCACTCCTCTAGATGGGGCATGAACAGCACTCCTCTAGATGGGGTCTGCCTCACAGATCACACGTCTTGCATCACTGCACCACGCGCTGCTGAAGCGGTACATCCACGCGCAGTTCAGCTCCAGGCAGTTCTGTTCGCCAGGATTGTCGGGTTCTAGATTCCCAAATGCAGTCTGCGCAAAAATAAAGCAAACATTTTCTATTATTTTTGTTACATCAATGATGTGAAGCCGAAAATATAATATAAATTATTTGAATGACAGTATTTCATAAATATTTTATGATCCTGGATTCTTCAAAGTTTCGTATTACCTAAATGACTTTAATCCATCCCAGGTTTTCATTTTCTTATATATATACTGTATTTTTTACAATGCATTTCTAACTGAATTTAATTTGGTTTCAAAATTTGGTTTTGTCAAAAGTTTGCGATAAAGTCGTTATGTACATTGCTTGGCAATTTTAATTGAAAAGCATTTACTTCAATTTACCTCACTGATCCAATTTTCAGAATTTATCTTACTGAAGACACAATGCTCAGTAAAACGTATTCTTCTATAGATAGTTAATTGTTTTCAGATATCTACAGTCAAGGAAAGTACCTTTTAATATCAAGTGTTTATAAGTATACAAATATTAGTGTTTCAGTTAAAAATTAGTGAGTTGAGCATATGAAATCATGCCGTGCATAATCCTTTTTTTTCGATGTCAACCAGGAACAGAAGAGATTTTCCATGAAAAAAAAGTTATTGATACATTAAGTTTGGTTTGTAGCTGCTTGAACAAGACAAAGAAATTCGCGAAATCTTGTCCATGGGATGACAGGAAATTATCTTTGCAGTTAATTCTGGAACTCAAGATGAATTTATTTCATTTACATATAAACCTAGCTGAGAGGCGAATTCAATGCCCAAAAGTACGCTAGGTAAATTACTTGACAATGCCACTATCATGTAATGATTATATAACCTGCATCTAGCTTCGATAGATAACATTTAATATCTATTGTTTTTAAAATCTAATATGACAACGCATTTCTGCATCTGCAGGCTGTTTATTTTCGTTCGTGCACTTCTTTTAAATATTTACGAGTCAGTATGCTTACAGTTCCCCAATAAGGCAGCCGCGTAGTCATCGGCGAACCGTCAACCCAGCGCCATTGCCCTTCCACGGCCCTATCTGAGCCCCCGATCCAGTAGTATGAGTTACCTTTTACAGAAAAGAGATAAAAAATGTAAGGGATAAGGAATTGAGTTTCGAAATATTATTCTGAATGAAACTGCTGCTGCTTCCCTGTCACTCATGATATAAATGTCACTAAATTAAGAAAGGGAAGTTTTCCAGAGTTAACCACTTCCTGGAGGCGTTAGGCTGTTGGGGGTAAATAGAAATTAATCATGGTGTCAATTACCTCCATTTTAACCTAAGGTGTGCAGGTCTACATTATTCGCGTATTAAACCTCAACTTCACAGCTGTGGTCTTAGTTGTATTAATTTAATTTAACCGCACAAGCATCATTAGGGTTTGATATGCACAGTTTATTTTAAAAGATAATATAGAACTTTTCAAACGGTTACCTTGTTCATCGAGGTAGAGGGCAACCTTGTGGTACTGATCGCAGTCGTCTACAACAAACAGATCCCCACCGACCAGTCCACACTGGGTGCGAGCCTCGTGCCAGACGTAGTATTCGGTAATTATGTGAACACATTGAGTGCCAACCAAAACAAAAGGATGCTGACAGAGACCTGCAGTAGAACACATATCCATGATGTTAAATATTGAATGAATGAAAGATATTAGATTATTCATTCCTGGAAGCTGGATATTAGCTCAGGAAGCCATTGCATGAAAGATTAGCTCTGCTTTGCCTTGGATCCTGCCGTTCGTGCGTTAAATCTGACTCTACCTAATTTATTTCAAGATCCTACATCCCGTATACCTGGAACATTCATCAATTCATACTTTAATTTAATACCGGAACTATATATATTGCCATGCAACTATAAACGTAATCATTGTATGTACAATAAGCAATGTTCATGGAACCCTCAGGTACAAGGTGTGGATGTCAGTAAATATTTATTGATGCAAGCCTCAAGTTCAATATGTGCCATGTCGCGATAACATCAGAATGAAATCAAGCAAGATAAAACGATAAAAATTCAGAAGTAAACACGTAGACTGCACAGAGATGATACCCTCACCTAATATTTTTGAGTGAGCTGGATAGATGTAAGTTTTTTAACTCTCCTTCATTATGGTTACCTTCTTTCTTCTTTTTTATATTCTTCGAGCATCTATTGAATTGTTTCACTTTTGTGCCGTAAAATTTTCAAAGATATCAACCTAATACCTATTGAGAGCTAACTCCTGAAAATTAAACAGTAGAGTCAAAGTTACGTACAAACTCTACTACTTAATAATGCAGTTTGTTCGTAAAATTCTTTCAAGGGGATTAATTTGGCAGTTGACTGCATAAGATATTCAAAATCTTAGAACGAATTCCTCCACAAAGTGTTTACTCTTTCCACTTTTCTGTCCAGGTTACCTTCCAAGGCTTCGAAAAAAAGAGTAACTCACCATCTACTGAAGGTCTTAAGCACAGAGGATATAAAACGGACGTACATCCGCCGTCTCGGAATAACCAGCCATAGGAACCACTTATATAAGCACAGTTCTCACTCGTTCCACCGTTAGGTTCTGTTGCTAAATTCTCTCCAGTGTTCTGAGGGATAAATCTAATTAGAGGGAGCTGTTGAAAGTTTTTCGATCAATTGTAATCACATGAAGCACTCAATGCAATAAGTTGTTCAGCTGTAATATTTCTTGCGCCAACTACTGATTGTCATCACTCAATAAAGATTCCCAACTACCCAAATAATAATCAAGGGTGGTGCACTATATGGTTATAGGTATAGGCATGTTACATTATATGTGGCGAAACGTTCCTTGCTACGTCTTGCTTGTAAAATGTGTTCCGGTCAGATTGCTTGTCAAAAACTCTGTTATTTTCGGAAAAAATATCCTCCTTAAGCTGAAAGATACAAAGCAGTTCTCTATAGACTGAGATTAATATTGTAATTTATCTACTTATGAGAAATTTGCTTATCTCGTCACATAATTATTTTGATTTCAAGTTTATATATACAATAATGTGGTCTCAGCGTCATTCCTACGTGAAAGATTATCCATATACTAGGGTAATGAAAAACATCGGTGCGGATTGTTGAAAGAATATCACCCCTGACATTTCAAAGTCGAGTGATGTCGATTCCATCATCTAAACATTCTTTATTTTCCACAAAAATTTTTCCGTCGAAAATCTTTCAGAATTTCACTTTTTGAAAAATGATATAATTTTCAAATAAATAAACTTCAACAGATAATAAACGGAATTTTTTCAGCTGCTATTTCTGGAACATAATAACGTGTTCGAGTAAACAGTGTTTAATGGAAGCATCTAATCAGCATAGTAGTGGCATTTAATCATAATAATTGATGAAATTAAAAATTTCAATACAGGCAGGCAGGGACTTTTCTCCAAGGCGATTTCACACGAGTTTTGTACATGGCGCTGTGATTATTTCTTCCTGCTACATTTCCAACATTGTTGCTTGTGCCGCCATGCTTGATGTGTATACGTAATCCTTAAAATGTTTTATTCTATTTGGAAGGAATGTCGAGCAATGTGAGAATGTACAGGCATTGGATTTGGAACTAACGGAAAATTTTTATTGACCTAATTCGAGTGGTGGTCATAGACGGCTCATCGATTAGCTATCGGCGAAAATGGGAAAATTATTGGTGGAAGAAGGATTTTAAGTTAAGGTCGCCATCAGCAGGATATAGGTGGAACATAGGCCGGACACGCCATCGATGCGCCATCGGTGTTCTCCACTTATAATTTCCACCAATAGCCACCAATAGTCATCGATACTCTACCAATAATTTTTATTTGGGTAGGTCGAATCAAACACTATCATAAGATGAGTTATAATAACTATTTGTCAACTAAATCTTCATGGAATTAAGACTGCAAATCAATGTTATTTCTAACATGAGAATTAAGATTGACTTTTTTGTAAGAGACGCTCAGAACTTCACATTCTGTTTTCAGTTAATTCTAATTAAGTTCACCTCAACATTATAATACTGTTTGTCATATTATATTGTTCAACCCTATTGCATCTAGTCGTGACTTAGCTGAGCTTCATCCATTTAAAATGTAATAATAAATAAGCTTCATTTTAGCAAATATGTTGTATCATGTACAGAAAAAACATGTATAAACTCACGGTGGCCCAGTACGGAGCACCCATTTGCACGGCCGCTCCGTCACTCCACTGCCAAACATTGGTGAGCGTTCCATTGGTCGCGCCTAACCAGTAGCCGTTGTTAAAATCAGTTGAGTCTGATGGAGTGCAAATTTATTATTAATTAATGTAAAGTTTTCAGCGTAGATAAGATCCTGTTGGCCTGTCGCCGATTCTTAACTACCTGGGCAGGTACTTTCAAACATTGCTAATTGGACGTAACTTCTTGAACTTAAGCTCAAGAAGATACGTCTAGCGTACGATCAGCGACTTTTGGCACCTTCATAACTTTCGTACGAACGACTTAGCTAAAGGCGTACTTTCAAAACACTCCGGCTCTCAGCCAATCATAAGCTGGCTCACATGCCTGTCTNTTTGTAATAATATTCATGGTATTTGATCAACCGTAACGCGTGCATCCAACCTCTTTGTAGTGCCGAATGTTCAAAAATTTCCGCAGTCGCTTTCTCCTCAGATCAGAAACTGGCAGCAGAAAATAATATACAGACTTTTGTCTTAACTTTTAAAGGCCTTTTTTATGTAAGTTCTAAATTGAAGAAGGATGCAATTATATTGTTTGTATTCAGTATTATCCCGGTAGAACATTTTTTTAATCAATTCATAATTAAAGTTATAATCGCAATGCATCAAGATTTGTTGATGTCTAGTTGTTGATAGGTTGATACATATACCGGAAATTAAAACCACGGACGATACAGCTATAAAATGGGTGGATAGCTAGAGGTCAGCATAGCCCAAGTCCACAGTGCGATTCATATACCTTCCCGAGCGTAACGCAGCCGGGCATCTTCACGGCTTTTGACACNAATAAATAAATATAAAAATTTTTTTTTAAAAACCATGTTTTTTTGGTGGTTACAAAACTAAAAACAATGAAATAAACAAATAAAAAAAACTTTAAAAACACGTTTTCTTAACGAATAAAAACGAACAACATTAACTCTTACATAACATTAAAGTTATGTAGAATGTTATGTAATGTTATGTAGGAGTTAATGTTTTTCTTTTTTGTCTGTTAAGAAATGGTGGTTTTTAAAAGTTTTTTATTTTTTTTATTTCATTGTTTTTAGTTTTAGGTTGTTTTTTCAAACACCAGAAAAACGTGGTTTTTAAAAATGAGTTTTTTTTATTTATTTTTCCTTTTGCTTGCGACCACTTAGACTTAGAGGATAAGTACTGGAATTTGATTGACGGCTAAATAGTTTACATTATTTTCTACTAGAAATAATCATATTACTCAAGATTGGACCCTTCCTGTTTGGTTGAAGAGAGGCCTTTTCAATTAAAGGTGGCCACATGGCATCATATGCACTAATTTGTAATGAAATTTAACAATATTCAGCAACTGATGTAATATTCTTTTTGAAAACAATACGAATTGTCGCTTCATAACTCGGACCTGAACTCTTGCTGGGTTCACTTACGTAGCCGTCACGTCAATGAACAAACACGAATTTGAACTTTCAAATTAAATAATAGAACGAGAGAAAATAATGAATTATAACGGCTTTACTTCACAACAAAGGGTTGAACTAAAATACAAAGTAGATAAGAATAGCAACTTCAACGGACTGATGGTACTATTCATAAAACCCTAAAATATAATATACCGAAGTACTAAGTTTGAAGACAGCAATACTTTAACTGTATCTTGATCTTTCCTCGCAAGGCCATAAGTGCGAATTTGGTTCATTCATGCATTCATTCATAATAATACGGTGGATACTCCATAATTGAAGAAAAACCCCACTAACGGTGGAAAAAACCCCATGGTTTTCAACTTGGAGAGATTTTGGTTCCTCTAAAAGCTTGGAGTCGCAGCAGGGTGAGATCCCCCGCGTCATCTCCGTGAGTGCGTCGAGAGAATGATCACTGGTGGACACCGCAGCACGGGGTGAGTTACAACATCTGATGAATTAATTAACCGCGAAATTGTAAGTAGTGTGTAGGGGTATGTACACAGTGATAGCAGGTTGCCAGCGTGCTGGTTACCTGCTGAGGCTGGCGCCTGAAACCATAGAATACAGAAGCTTATTCGTACAGGTTTTCACTGTGAACACTTACATTATTATCCTATGTTCATTCTTGTGGCAGGTTGGAGCAGGTTGCCCGCGCGGGCAAACCTGCTTTCACTGTGTGCGTACCCTAGCATAGAAACAAGTTACTGGGCCAGCGGTACCGAACAC